CTTGACCCTGACCGCGCACTTTTATGCCGGGGTCAAGTGCCTGCTGAACAAAAGGCATTTCCTATGCCCTCTACCCGATCAAGTCCTCCTTGCCCCCTCCTCCACGCGTCCCAGCTCGGCAGCAAACCTTTGGCTTGCTGCGCGAACCTTACGGGTCACGGCTTGTGGTAGGACAAGAGCAGTGTATTCTTGAAGGGCTTGATCGAGGTAAAGACGTGCAGTGGCAATATGTTGCCAGCGGCCTTTGGCCAAAAGCTGATCAAATTGCACGCCCTGAACATAGGCTGCAGTGCCCCCCCCCGTCTCAGACTGTAAGGAAGGTAGTTGAAGCTTTCCAGGCCGAGGTGATGCACAATCTCTTTCCATAGTGACCGGAAAGCAGCAGGGGAAAAATCCGCCAACTTTTCTTCAGGCTTGCGTCTCTGACAAAGAGCGCGCAAGCAAGTAATGCCGCTTTTCTCAGGAATGAGTACCTTCTCGCTCCTCAAAAAATTTCGTTGTGACGTTTTCGTGTCACGCAGGAAGAGGATCGCGGACTGTCCTTCCTTTCGTGGCAGCACCACATCTTGCCGCTGAAGTTGAAACATCTCTCCCGCCCGTAGGAGACCACAAAAGGCTACCATGGTAAGCTGGGCTAAGCGAGGCCATTGCCACTGCCATAGTGTTCCAGCAAAAGCCAACACTAATTCAGGACTAAGGGGCGTAGCCCGCAAGGGTTGCTCCAACTTATTCCATAAGGAAACCAGCTGCCATGCTCCTTTCAAGTTTCGTCTGAGCTCTGGCCTTCGATACTGAACGGCCGCCATCACATAATTGGCCATCGTCTTGGGATCTCCTTCCTCCCAGAGGAACTCAACATATTGACAAAGCACTGACTCAAGGTCTGCTCGTTTCAGCAGCTCTACCTCTGGGGTTCCCACAAAGGTACTCAAGGCAACGGCATATCTTTCTGCAGTTGCTTGTGAAACTCTTTGCTCTGACAACCTTCCCACTTTCTGCCTTTCAGCCTTGCGGTCTGCTTTCGTGGCTTTTCGCTTAATCTCCCTTCTTGGCATCCTTTTCAAAGCGTCTGCTTGGACCATCCGCGGGATTCAATCGGGATGCAATCCAAGCCATAAAGGGAAAAGGTTCAACGCGACACACAAGGCTGAGGTCTTCCGCAAAATGCGATTGATCTTTCTCGAGCTGCTCCGACCTTTCGTCAGTGCAGCCAGGCAGATCTGGGAATCCGGTAGGTGGAGGAACCTGCAGGAATGAAAGGAGGCCGAACGGGCCCGCCACTCTAGGCTCCTCAGGATCGCCCTCAACTCCAGAAGATTGATGTGCTCATTTCGGCGCCACTTGTAGGATTGGGCCGTCTTCCAAACCCATCGGCCTGGATCAACTGTCGCGCGGACCACAGCATCCGGACGGTACACGACCTGCAGGTCCAACCGAACATCGCTTCCACGAAATTCCATCCTCCGAAGATATTGGTGAATCAGCCGGACATTCAACAAGCAGGCTCCTCCTCCACCCTTGCCAAAACTATGTCCAGCCAGACGAAGCCATTGTTCGCGCTTTGGGTTCCGGACCAACTGCACCAGGGCTTCTTCCTCCTCCTTGTCTCTCTCACTCTCGCTAACATGCGTCGTGGCATCATCCTTTTCTCCAATGTCATTGAACCTCCTGACTGCCGTCTCCTCGTGCCATCTTTTCACTATGGCGCTGGCTCCCTTCGGATCAGTTCGGGCTTGCTTCTTCCATAACCACAGGTCCATCGAGCAAGCCACGACCACAGTGTGGAAGCTATTTCCGATAGCCGCTTCTCGAGCCACCATCTGCTTCCTCTTTTCCTCCTCCGTCTCTGCTTCCTTTCGAAACAGAGCCAAGGTGTACCCCGTGGGGTATCCCATCAAACTCTCTTTCCGTCGCGGATGCCACGCGCTTCACTTCTTCTCCCGTGGCATGGTGAAAAAGGAACTCGGGTCGGTAGGTGTATGGAGGAAACTTCATCCTGTCCTCCTTCCATCTGTCTATTGTGCTCGGATCGCAGGACTGCAGCCCCGCTGGCTCCTTGGGCGGATTCCTCCGTGGAAGTGTAAAAGTCGGCAACCGAGGGTTCTTATTGACCTCCGCTGCCGGCCAAAACCACCCTTCATCACAGACCGACCCCAGAGGCTCCAACTCCTCATTAAACTCTAACGCATCATAGAGCTCGTGATGGTTCAGCTGATAACTGGCACGGTCATCCAACGCCACGTTGCTCCAATACAATCTTGGACGCCGAACCCACGATAGGCACCCCGAGCAAACATGCACCGGACGGTATCCCAGCTGTTGACTCATCTCTCGGATGAGTCATCCTCATCTCCAACTACATTCTCCACCATCAGGACAGACCATACCTTCATTTCTCTTGCCAGGTCCTCAATCCAATCCAGAATCTCCACATACTTGTAGAACAACTGGCACCTCAGTTCTTGAAGGTGAATTCGGTCCACACTCAACCTTGACAGACCCTGACACGGAGAGCCTCCCCCAGCAACCACTCCGGTGAGGCCTGGTACACTCCTCATGTACTTCTCTATCTCTCCTTTTGTCACCCTCGTGATATCAGTTATCGCGTCACATCCAGGCCACCTTGTCTTGTTTAGCCTTCGACGTTCAGGGTCCTTCTCAATCACCACTAAATGATCCACCTTCTGTCCTGCCAGCTCCAGTGCACGGCTCAGGCCTCCTATGCCTGCGAAGAAGTCGAACACCAGCACGCTTTGGGGTTCATCCAAATTGATGCCCTCTCCGCCGACATCATCCTCCTCCTCTTCCAAGGCGCACATCTCTCTGAGCCCTTGGGAGGTCAGCTTCGACCCATACACGGAGCCACCACCTGTCTCAGTGGCATCAGAGGCCGTCACCACTTCGTGCAGGTTGGCCCTCAAGTCAGTTAATTGTCAGAGGCTGACTACAACCTGCCATCAGTATCTCCTCCACTGACTTGGCTCCAAGCTCAATCATGACCTCGCCTTCCGAGATGTCCTTCCAGAGGTAGTCGAAGACTCCAAACAAGGGTCGACGGAACTGAAGCGTATGCACCTCTCGTCCTAGAAACACCTGCAATCCTTTCCGGGGCACCTTCTCTTGTCTCAGTAGCCAGAAGCTCAGCGACAGGCTATCTAGCGCTCTCTTCATCGATCCTTGAAGGGTTCCTCGGTCCCCATCAACCACAGCTTCTCGGCTTTGCGGGCTCTCTGCAAGCTCTTCTCTTTCGAGTACGGGACCCCCGTCCTCTGCTACGCGAGCCTCCATGATCTCATAAAGGCTGGTGTCATCGAGATACAAGGACCATTCGGGAAGACGCTATCTCGCCGTATCTCACACCTTCCCAACAAACCTCCGCCTTGCAAGGGTGACCGCAGAGCCAATCTCCTATGGGCATGTTGCAGCACTCCTACTGCCGACGCCCAGCCCATTGGGAGCGCAGCTGCACCAATATAGGTTTCTCCTTCTCGCTCTACTCCCGCTCACCTTCTCTGCAAACGTCATCATCTCAGGCCAACCCGGTGGGAGAGCAAATAAGTTAAAAGCTGACACCAGATCATGCGCGCTCATCCTCACCACCTTGCCAGCTGGGAGAACCACGTGCTGCAGAGCCGGTGCCCCCGTCAAGGTCCGGACATCTCTGTCAAGAACTCGAGTCGCGGCATTCGTCCCTCGAAAATCCATGATCAATCTCAGGACTGGACGTTCATCATCAAGGTACTTGCCCGGCTTTGCCACTCCGAAGCTGCCGTTCACAAGGTACCTACCTCTCACAAGCACTGGCGCCTCGACTGTCTTCACCAGGCCCCGTGTGTACATCTCTCCTGCTATCTTCTCCCATTCCTCACGGGAGGCATGAATCTGAGGCCTTGGCATCTCCACTGGCATCTCCTCCTCCGACAATAGATTGCTCAGTGGATGCAGGAGCTTTTCCTTCAACTCCCCTTCACACAACTCTACGAGCGGAATACTTGCTCCATAACCCGCAGGTGGCAAACCAGGCAGGACCTGATCCAGTGTCAGACGCTGTCCTTTCTCCACTATCTCACCTTGATATGAGCTCCTCACATCACCAACCTTTCTTCCCCACTCCCCCATCTCTGGGGAGCGGGGCACCTTTGTTTTTGTCTCAGAGCTATCATCGACGAAGGCCTTCACCGTCAATCCGATCCAAAGCCCTCTAGCCTGACTCACACTCGTGGTTCCTCTATGAACTTTCGCTTGCTTTCCTCCTCCTGTCCACAGAAAATTCAGCACCACCACAGCCAAGCAATGCCAAATGAGCAGACCGGCTCGTCGTGCGTGTCGAAAGGCCTTCTTGTCTGTGCCTCCAAACTTCCGAAAGTCCCCAGACTCGAAGAGGCTCCTGAGCTGCTCCTTCCCATCGGCCCACAGCGGCAGGGGCAGAACCTCCCGTTGTCTTCCCCTATTGCCGTCGTCAGACCCCGGCTCGATGGACCGCTTGAGATATTCGCCCAAGTTCGTGCCACTTCGCATGCACACCAACGCCAAAAGTCCTCCTGTTTGTGAAACGCTCAGGCCACCACACTCTTCACTTTTTAGCCAACGCTGCATTATGGCTAAACTCTCGACTTCGCTGGAAGGGCCTCAAACCCTTCCTCGCTGGATTCACTCCCACTGTCGCTCACACGACTGCAATATCAAGCGAGTTCTCCATGGGAACCCCTATGAGCGGGGTAAAAAGAGACCCCCCTTGGGAAGCATCCGTTGGACATTCTGGCGGGGTCGCCATGGCTAGGAGTTGATGACGATAATCAGCAAGCTCCTCGGCTAGGCATTAATTTCTGCAGTGGAAGTAGTCTCCACCGGACTAGGGCGGCCTGCACTACCGATGGAAATTACCAGACCTGCATTGTATTCAAGATGTGCCTCTGTGAACAAAAGCATACCCAGCTTGCTGCGGGCAAGGTCCGGGTCACTGTAGTGCCCTACCAGGTCAGGCCACCGAAATTGGCTTTCCGCTAAAGAGGCTAGGTCTTGCACTTCAAACAACGTGACTGGAACACAATCATTATCGATGAGTCCAAAATGCACCTTTGGGAATAGAAACCTGGCAGCCTCGAGCACGAAAACACCGGCCCACTAGTAAGGGACTACATGCAGGCCATTAGCTTGATTTGCCTGTACCCACAGTATATCTGTCTTTTCTTGCTGCGGACCGATTAGTGCGCGACGCGAAGACCACCATTGTGCGAAGGCAGGCCAATGCTCCACTTCATCTGGGCCACGGTTATCCACAATTAGGTATAGACCATGCCACATGACTCTATAAGCTCCCTGTGTCGGACTAGGCATTCAACAATGGCAACCGTGTTGGGGCCGTGACCAGACAGCTCTGTTGTAGCATACCCTACATCCCGATCGGCACCTTCCTTTCTCGGCCATATCTCCTTCTGCCAGGCAGACCTCCTTTGCTTCGCGGAGGACAACCCTCCGGGTTTCTCCTTGGCTCCTCCTTGGCGACCTATCTCTCTTGGCCGATCGTCGAAATGGACTCGACGCACCTGCTCGGGGCTCTTTGACCGCTTCAGGCTGGCGGCTTCCTGCTTTGCTGCTCTTCTCTTCTCGCTCTCTGAGGACAAACTTGCGGCTCGTGGAGGTATCAATTCCTGATGCCGTGCTGATATCCAGTTGCTGCCGACCAGACTGGTCTCCAGAGCCTTCAACCAGGTCTCCTAGCTCCGGCAGCTCGCTCATGATCAGAAGGTCGGTGGCGGTCCCGAGGGTGATGAGTTCTCTGTGACTTCTCACTCCCATGGCCTGACTCACTTCTCCTTTCACTCGACGATGGTCGCTTTTCCTTCCTTCCCCGGCGCCTTTTGCGGCTCCGGCTCCGGCCACGGCTCTCCTTCTTCTTTTCCTCCTCCTTCTTCCGCTGCTGCTCACGCCGTTCCGCCGCCCTCCTTTCCAGCAGAGCGCCAACTGACCCTTTCGGCCCTCTTCCACTCTCACCATGGGCCTCCTCCTTTTTCTCCTCTGACTCCATCTTCTCGTCACCGCCTTCTTTGCCTTCTCCAGGGCCTTATCAATTCCGGTTGGGTCTTCGAAGGACTCCACCTTTCTTTTCGCACCAGGCGCTCCTGCCGGTTCAGGCACACGGGGTGACCAGGCATCAATAAAGCTCATGATGCCCTCCAATGCACGCTTTTTGGAGTACTCCATATCGCGCATCATCAACGGATTGACCAATCTCCAACGGCTGATGTGTACCAACTCTCTTCCATCTCCTCGTGGCAACTTCGCCTTACACTTTGTTCTGTCTCCACTACACAAATGGTACAGCCCCTTTCTATCCATCAGGTAATGTTGGCCGTACCACTCATAGTAACCGTCACTTGCAACCAAACGATCTCCAACCAAAAATCCTCTACCAACCTCACTCCAATCTTCGAATCGGAGGCATGCTTTCCCCTGAGCTCGGCCATCCCAATCATGGCACTCATACTCCATCACAAATCCTTTTCCCAACACTGACTCCGCATAGCTCAGAATGTCATCATGCCCTTTGGCATCAACCCAACTCATCTGGTGGGGCAGAAGGCCACTTTGCAACAACTCATTCCAATCCTCAAGGGTTCCGCCCTTTTTGAAAAACCGCAACTTCTGATTCTCCATCTTTACTTTCTCACTTGTCTTCACTCTCCCTTTCCCTCCTTCTCAGGTCCTCTGGGCTCCTGCCCGAGAGGGATAGGACCCTCAAGGTCCCCTCCCAAGCAAAGGGGGCGGAGAGAAGCGGAACCTTGGGAAGTGGCCTTCTCACACCCCTCAACCCTCAGTGGCCTCTGGGTCCCCCCACTCCCACAAAAAAGCCTGGGGTCCCCAGAGGCCCAAACTTGGCCACTCCTCAGCCTCTCACTCCACGAGGAGTGCTGAGGCCGAGAAGTGGTCCACCCAAGTTGCTCTTAGACCACCTGACCTCTCACCACCTACCTCACAAGGAGGTCGGGTGGGAGAGGTCAGGCAGCCCTGACTTCAAAAGCTCCGGTGGAACCGCCATTCAGGCATGCTATCCCCTTGGGAGAACACATACTGGAAAGTCTATTGAACATTTGACTGTTCTAGGTCTGAAGAAAACCAAGAGACTTTTAATAGCTTTATGTAATGAGACAGTACTCGATAGCTATATAAGGCAAACCAATCCTGTTGTTCTTCCTGCTGGGATTTTGCCACCCTGGATAGATAGACCCCATTGTAAACCATGGCCTTCGACGGAGCAGCTCTTGATAGCCGCATTGAAGCTGATCACATTGGGCTGGACCTGCAAGCTAGACATCCGTCAACCACCT